GGGGGGGGGGGGTTAAAATAAAAAAGCTCGCATTAGGCCTACAGAACTTTATAAAGGGTGCCATCATATTGAATTGCACCCCTTCTTGCCACGCGGCTTGAGTCATTGGAAAACAGTGTATCATCTCCGGAGGTCACGAACGACTTACAATATCTCGTCAACGTTGTACCTGGGGTTGATATTGGAAGGCTGACCCGGCTGACCATAGTCCATGTCCACATTGCTGTCCCAGACCCGGTCAGGGCCTTGAGGATTTCTAGGACTCTCTACGTTGGGAAACGATGACTTCCTTGGCCTGGGGTTGGCAAAGGTCTCGGGAGCCGCGTCATAGTTGGCAGGCTCTGGGGTCCGGTTCCTGTCAGGCATGTCCTTATAGTTGTCATCGGGGAAACCTGGAACAAATAACTTTGCTGTTTAATAAAAAAAGTATTTGTTTTGTTACTGAAAGGTGAATGCATAATAACAGCCGATTTCTAGTCATGATCTTATCAGATTCTTTATTGACATGAACCTAACAAAGCAGTGTTTCTTTCTTTCAGGTGATATGATCCGAAGGGAGGGAACTTCGGGTGTTCGGAAGAGGACAATGCACCTATCGGGGTCCAATATAGGCATAATGACGCACAAAGCCAGCTCTGACTCCACCCCTCTCACTACATAAAAAAGGAATCAAAAAAAGTAATTACAGACACATGATTTAAGGCAACATTTTTGTTTAACTTACGTTCTTTCCAAAATCCTGCATTTCCATTTCCCGGTGCAATCCTGGTGAAAAATTAAAATAGTGAGATTGTATTGCGGTTGATGAAGTGAGTTTCATAAACAACATTGTAAAACAGAGGCAGGTGAAAGAAAAAAGCCAAGCTGATTACAAATATAATTACAATTCGCATAGGTTCCAAACTGCTTTAAATCAGAGCCTCTTCTACCACACACACAATCACTCACTCACCCTTCCGGTTTCGGCTTGATATCGATGACTCTTGTAGCTTTCGGATTTTTCCTTGGTTGAGAACATAGCAATGCATTAACCAAAGCACATTTGAACTAATTATTATTATAACAGTATGTTAAACGATATATGACTAGTTAATGTCATATTAACTACAGTATCTATGTGAGTTAAGTGCCAAACTACATTTGAAACATTAAAAAAAAAATCGAAATATATAGGCACTATTTAGCATAGATTTATGACTAGTTTATCCTAATAAATCCATGGATACAAGCGCTACATAAGCACTCAATCTATCCCTAAAAATTCTTAAATAGCTAACTAATAATTTTCTCAAATTCATCATTTGATGTAAACTTACGGAACTTTCTTTCTCCTGCACGTATCCCCGTCACACAGACCTCGGCCACGCCCACTGCAACCTCTTGACCAATGGCCTTTGGGAATCCTGGCACTGCCACAGAAGGTCCTCACGCGCGTCAGACACAACCACGCGGTCAAACCTGGAGATTCAAAGCATGTTGAATTAAAATCATTAATGAGACACAATTTGTGTCAATACAAGAATTTAGATTCAGTTTTAATCATGGTTTCACAGAATTCAAATGCAAACGTTTTGGCAGATGCCTACACCCAGTGGCATAGCGAAGGTGTTTGGCGCCCGGGGACAAGATTCGCGCCCGGGGACAAGATCCATTTTTAGCGCCCCTTTTTCTTTTTTTCAACTCTCAAACGCATTATTTTCATCAATAAAATATTATCAAAGCACATTTTGGCGCCCCTAACTAGCTGGCGCCCGGGGACATCTGCCCCCCCCTGCCCCCACCACGCTACGCCTCTGCCTACACCTGTACAACAAACATCATTTATACGTACAAGTTAAAATTAAATGTACATTATATATATGTTTCCGTGATGAGGTTTGATTAGAGCGGGAGAGAATCTACTATGGCTTTTATGTAGCAGAACTAAGATGATAGCAAGTACTTAAATCTAGAGGGGAGAGAATAAGCTTTAGGGGTTTCGAAGGACTTACTCCTGTAAGGGAGATAATCTGTGATGAAGCTTTTTTAAAAAAAACGTACCCAAGAAGGCAGTCCCGAACAGGGCCGATAGAATAATCCACCACAAGTTGTCATCCGTCGAGAACGTGGTGGCCACGGGACCCGGTGTTGTGGTAGGGGTTGTGGTCGTCGGGGTGGTGGTGGTGGTCGTTGTTGTAGTGGTAGTAGTTGTGGGACAAGCCTTTGATGAGAAAGTTGTTTTAACATTTTTATTTCATTAAGCTATCATAAATGTAATACTGGGACGGTTGCGTTTGCTTTGTCTTCCGTAAGGTTTTTCCCGATCTGTTGTTTAAAAAGTTCTCTCTAAAGTTATCAAAGCACGTGCTTTACTGCTTGAACTGCATTGTAAGAAAGGTCATAAAATTAAACAACTCCAAAAAAAACAACAAAGTTTCTCATATAAATCCGTTATAGGCATTTTCGTTTGTATTTAACGACATCTCCCATACTCAAATACGTCACAAATACAAAGCACATAACAAAAAGCTAAACAAATAATCTTCACACCAAAACACGCACCAATTGAATAAATCATGAACACCCACCTCGCCCCTTGAAAAATAGGAAAAACTTATTTTTTGGGGGGTGGGGCTGAAAATTTTATCGAATGTGTTGCCATCGGCAATTACTCTATGTGCCAAGTTTTCGCTCAATAGGATGTCGGGAAGTGGGTCAACCCCCAAAAATCAGTTTTTACTCTTTTTCAAAGGGGACATGAAGGAAATATTATGTCCCACTGACTTCATGAAATAAAATTCCCGATAACTGCGCTAAATGAGATTCGAAAAAATATCGCAAGTGCGTTTGGCTCGTAATATTTTCGTTTTGTTTCTCTAAAATAGTTGGTTAAATTAATCTGCAGTATAAAAGTGGGTGGGACATTAGAATATTAATATAAAATAAAATAATAAAATGCATACAACGGATTTATAAGTAAAACGTTGTTTTAAAGGGTTGGTTAATCACTAAACTCAACAAAATATTCTGTGATCCCCATGAGAACCATATGGTCCACGTTGAGAACCACTGATATAAAATAATAAATGAGTGCCACCCACCGGCAGTCAGGCGATGCCAATGACCTGTAAACCTACCGTAAAAGTGACAGTGACAGTTCCTGGGATGGCACTGGTCAACGGCCCGGGGTACTGCCCGTGGTCAGTGGCGATCACAGTGTAAGTTTCACTGGTCCCAGCACTGGACACCGTGTTCAAGATGACGTGACCGCCTGGCGTGATGGTCACCCCACCGCCCCCTGAGCTCTTGCTGTACGAAATGACGTTGTTGTCCTGTGGAAGGCAGAGTGAACAAATGAACCACCTTTGCCGTGTTGGTCGGTGTTAGAAGAATCACCTGGGGACACGTGTGTAGTCAAAAACGTAATTTTTAACGGATCTTCTACAGCAGCGTTTCCCAAATGCCGGGTTGCGTCCCGGTACCGGGCCAGGAAAGCAAAATTACCGGATCGCCAATAGAAGGAAAAATAAAACGGTTACCGGGTCACAAAAAAAAGTTTGGGAATAGCTATTCTACAGGTTTAAAAAATGTGTTTCAACAAGAAATACTCCACCAGGCTCATATCATACACAGTAACTCATATAAATATAGTTACATAAGTATGTGCATGTAAATGTCTGGTTAAGTTATTAAATCTTCATTGGCCAACTTGTGACCAGGGGAATAACCTTATAGGGACGCTCTTTCTTTTACTAAGTTTACTAAGAAGCTAATCACAAGAATTGTTCCGGCAAATCCAAATACCGGATTGGCTTTGATGATTCGCCATTCACTGTTACCTTGTTTCTGAGGTATAAAACTCGTCACATCTTCCATTCATCATCATCATCAGTGGTGCCACAGCCAATGTAGGGCCCTGGCCTGCTCCACCACATCCTTCCATTCGGATCGATTTATGACTTCCCGCCTCCATGTGCGGACTCCCAGCTGCTGTCAGTCCTTTTCTACATCACCAATCCATCTCAGCCTTGATCGACCAGTCAGTCCGTTTTCTCCTAGGTTTGTGCATATAGATCACTTTTTCGGATCTACAATATGACATCCTCTCAAGGTGTCCTGTCCAGCGCAGTTTGCTTTTTAAAAGTGTATTAAATATCTGTCGGTCTTTGTATATTGATCTCTTGTTTTGTACTAATTCTCCAGACATCATTTTATATTAATGGGCAACTTTTTTTTTCCTAAAGAATTTCCCCTCCCATGTATGGGGGCAGGTTATCTGCTTTTCTTGGAAGAGACCAAGTCTCACAAGCGTAAACTACAAATAGTGTTATGATAGTGGTGTATGTGGCCTTCTGTGTTCTCCTTGAGAGATTTTGCTCCTTAGTAGCTTTTTTAGTCCACATCTTCAAGCTGTATGCGATTTTGATCCTTCAAACTAATCTTCTTTGTGCACAACCTTAATTATCACTTCCTTTGTTTTTTGGCTCTTGCCCGACAAAATGCTTCCATCCCATAGACCAATTCATCACACACCGAGGCCTGCTTCCAGTATATCTCTTGCCCTCCCATAGTGCTGTATGAGGCTTGAGACAATCAAATGGATTAATCACCACAAGTATAATTTTATTATTATTAGTGGTGGTTTTATATAGCGCGATACCCCAGCCTAGGGCTGGAGCTCACCACACTGTACATACAATTTAAACAAACATAATTCTGAACTTAAAAAAATTAATGCCGTTACCTGGAAAAAAGAATCTTTATCCGTTGCCACCAAGGTCCCTATCTGTACGCCGGGGTTGGAGCACTCTGTAATTGTAAAGTACTGATCCAGGGTGCCGGCTGTGAAAATGGGGGCGTTGTCGTTGAGGTCTTTGATGTTGAGAACCACTGTTGTCGTATCGTTCAAATACTTGGAGTCACTCACCTGGAACCAAACGTAGATATGTCATGTTAATGAATTTATACACTCAGCATTTTTTA